GCAATAGCCGAGGTGAAACTGCTGATCAATAATACTGTTGTTTCATGGGATTGAATGTAGAGACTTAACTTCAGGCCTTGCCCTCCCTTCCTAAGTTAGAAGTGCTCAATCTTGGAGACTGCTTATGTCGAGATCAAGGCTGCCATGCAATCGTTGATGCCCTGTCACCGACGGTCCATAAAGCATTGAAGGAGGTGGATTTGTCTGGAGCTGAGCTAAGTGGTGCAGCTGCGATGAGGATTGTCGATAAATGGAAGAAATTCCCTTCAAGCACTCGGCTCATTATCTCATCAAACAATTTCGGCCACGTGTTCGAGCAGTTACGAGCAACGGCGGCTGGAAAATATTGTACTTGGCGAATCTGAGTGAGTTTTACGCTTGCTTTCAAAATTCGAAATAATTGGAGGGGGCATTTCGCACTTTCGCTAGTTCCTTTTGTTACTCCATTCTTCTGTTCTCATGTTGGTGAGGCCTGCAAAGTCCTATGAAGCTGCGAAATGGTGTTTATGAGTCACTTTCGTCGGTCACAGGAATCACAGATTTTCGTGAGGTGGCTGTAGAAGCTTAGATGAGTCCTATCTGCGCCAATATGGGCACGTTGCACTTCATTGCGCCACTTTCCGGAGTCTCGATTTTCATTGGCATTTGGTCCTGAGGTGGATTATTTTCAGAGAAGGAATCCTCGTTTTTGTTTAAGGGCTTGAACTACCGCCAGGGGCAAAGGGCTGGCCAAAGCTACAACTTGTGATAAATTGCATGAAAAATCGAGCTCAAATTAGAAAATCGTTGCACCAAGCAACTCCTGTCGCTGAGAGAAATTTTGGCCAAATATGAACCCCTCCCCCCATATTCCTTCCTGTAATGCGACTCCCTTTACCCCTTCCTTATCCAACCTACCATCTTTTTCTGTCATCTGTAGCCCTTAGGAAACGGAAATGTCAACAATGGATTATTCTTGACTCGGAAACTTCTCAAAGGGTACCCCTCCCTTCTCTCTCCTCCCTCCTCTTGAAGGCACCAACGAACACTACCTCCCTGGAAGTGGGGGTCTCAATATTATGGATAGCGTGCGAAAAAAAAGGAAAAAAATCATTATCAGAGGTTTTTTCTCAGGCCAAACATGACCTTCGCTCCCTTGGACGACCGAATGTGACTCTCCCCCTCCAGCGACCGAGCACGATCTTTTGCTGGGGATTCCCCAGAGTACCCAGAATACAAGTACCCAGAATCTGCTCTCTACTTTCATTTACTTTTGACATTTTGTTACTGTAGCGTAGTTGCTTATGCTTGCTTTATAGTGATGACCAGGGCTCTCTCAGCTCAGACGACGAAGAGCGCATGAGCGCCGAAGAGACCAGCGATGAAGATGACGTGAAGGAAGAGGTTTATCAAAATTTCAATTAAAAAAATGCTTTTTCCGTCGAACGGTAAAGCAAAATAACGCGTAATGTGGGTCGAGCGCGTTGTCTCTCAATTCAAAAAGAAACTTTACACTCACTGCTCCTGATTCTTGCCAAATGCGAAATGAGTTCATCCGCAGCTGTAGGAGCATGCCAAAACTACTGCAATTTTCCCCGCTGCACGCAAGGAACGAGGTTAGACGAGGTTAGAGGGAGGGTAGTGGAACCCCAGTGCAGGCACTGCCTTGATCTGCCGCACACCTAGTCAAGCGCTTGGCCAAGGGTAAACGCCCTACTTTTATGTGCCCTCTCACTTCTAGTTTTTCTCCACTCGAGTGTAGGTGTCACTACGGAACCGCGGCATCGACACAAGTGCTGCACATTGAGGATTGCGCGGACGGACACAGCGCTCTGGCAGTACCCTTCAGCCGCGCTCCTGAGCACTTTGAGCGGAGGAAGTGGCAGGCTACTGCAGCTGCGAGGCCATTTTGCCTTGCTATTGCAGGGCCAAAACGAGTGTAAAGTCTTGAAACAGTGGTCTTTAAACTTAATCGGAGGAATAAAAAGTAGAAAAGTCTTTGCCGTCAATTAATCTGTGGGAAGCGGCACGCATTCTACTTCCATTCAGAATCGTAGTGGCTTATTGAATGCATGGCCTATACAATGACTTGCGGGGGCCAGCCGATGTACAAGTCAGTGTTCTTATCCTCCCAGACGAATCTGGTACCAATTTACCGTTCCCGGAGGGTAGAAGGCTTGGTTGGCCTGGGCGGGAGTCGACCTGGGATTCGAACTCACTACACCACCTCCGCCTCATTCTTTATTTTTAGACTTTTATCAGAAGGCATATTCCGTGATAATCGGTCGACTTACAACCGTTGTATATCCTTCATTGACGCATTAGACTAACGGACTACACCTGGGAAAGCACATTTGTTGTGAGCTGCTGCCCATCTCTCCACCCTCCCATTTTTCACGGAGCACGGCTTTAAGGGACTTTTCTAGTTCAGTTTCCTCTCAAATAACATTCAGCTTGCCTAAGCTCCATGTGGTTTTTCAAGGCTATTAGTAGGTGTCAGGGGCTATTGCTTTGTTATGTGCTCAGAATCTTCTTATGAAAACTATTCTTTTGCATCAAACTGTTATGTTTTTGGCTGCGAATCCACTCAATGATCCAGAAGCTCTGCTGAGAAGATGCCACGATTTTATGGAGGAAGCTCAGGTACGCGGCATTTGTCGTTTCCTCCAGCCAATATCAACCCATTCTGACCATTTCAGAACCGCTTTGAGTTAGCTACCATAGAAAAAGCAGCCAGATTAATACTGGAGTTGGCTGACATTGTTGGCAAAAGTGGTAACAGTGATAACATAACCGACATGGCGGTGAATGTAGCAGGTACGTATTTTTTGTTGCTTTCAAATCGGGTGAAATATGTTGTTATTTGCCTAAACCCACCCTGGTAGCGCCCTGTTTTTTTTGCTAGATTTTTTGTTGTTTTGTGCCTAGCATTAGATATGGCTGAGAGTTTATCTTGGTTTAGACTCGTAAACATGAGTGTCACAACCATTAGACCAGGAAAATGTGATCTTCCGACCACTAAATTCCATGAAAACTTACCCTTGAAAGACCTTGTGGGCGCAAATCCACCTTTAACTGGAGGATGAACAGCTCAGAGGGAAAGGCACACTCCTTGAGCTGAAGCAAAAATCGTAGGCCTTTCTTCTGCTGCATGTTGACTTGTGGAATGTACCTGCGCTGCCATTCTCCATCCTTACTTTTTTCGTTTCTAGAAGATGTGATCAAGCGTGTTGAGTCTGTTAGACGTCGACCAATATCCACAACATCACAACTGCTCAACCATCTCTCTGCACAGTGCGGATTCGTGAAAGTAAGTTTGAACATTCTGTTTTCTGGGGTATAAGACGCACCTGGAAAGAGCGTTTCGCAATGTCCGATGAAGCGTCGCGTCTTATCCCCAGCTTAGGCGGTTGACCAGTTTGGCTGACGCACACTACTGCGCGTCCAGCCGGGGTGCTGATTGCTGATAGGATTTCTGTGCTGGCCACTAAAGGTTTTCTGGCTGACCACTAACACTTGGCTTGATTCCATGTCTCAAAGTACGGCTTACTGCACCATATTTCACCTTTTTAATGAACATTTGCCAATGTCTGATGCTTATCACGTTTCTAAAAACACCCACCATTTGATGGAAATAGGGCAACTTAGCGGTTGAAAGAAGTTCGGTGGTAACATTATCCAAGTCTTGGTGGAAGCTACTTTCTTTCCTAGCGTTTCCGTTGAGCAGCTTTCAGTCACGTCTGTCTGGTTCTCCCTTCACTCCCCACTGACAAACATTTCTTTAAGCTTTTTACTTTGTGAAGAATCTTAGAGTAGCGGTTGATCAATTTGGTCTATTATAGCTCAGCGGGATAAAAGGACCTGCCCTCACAAGCCTTTGCTCATCGATTCCTGGACCACAGTGGTGAAGCTCAATCGCAAGCAGAGTAGGGAGGGGACAGATACTAACTCTAAGCCCTTGTCAGGAGCAGTATCACAACATGTCTCTTGCCACCAAAGTCTCCCACCATGTTCGCTAAAAACGTCTGAAATCACTTGCTGGAGGGTATCCCATGTTGCCTACGACCCTCTCGTGTTGTTAAGGGCTGTTGTGTCCTATCAGCTGTTATAACGTCCTGCCACCCACCGATAAGGTTCCCATCCTGCCCCCTATCGTGGAAACGACACCTTACCGTCGCTGTGGCGCAATTTATAATGTTGTTGAGCTTCCTTTTGTAAGGCCTATTATGGTATCTTATCAGCTGTTATCACTGCCTGCCACCCACCAATAATGTTCCCATCCTGCCCCCTGTCTTACTACTTGGATCCAAGGTCCCGTCGTTGCTCTGGCCGGCTATGAACTTGGTGACCCTCCCCTTCTAGAACCCCTGTGCTATCTTATCAGCTCTTATCAGTTCCTGCCACCCACGAAAATGTTCCCATCCTGCCCCCTATCTCTCTACTTGGATCCAACGCCCGGCCGTTACTCTGGCCGGTGTTATGAGTTTGGTAACCCACTCTTTTTAAGGCTCCTCATGGTATCTTATCAGCGGTTATCACTTTTCCTGCCACCCATCCTGCCCCCAT